CTTATTTACATCTGTGACCGCTATTTTACACTTTATATACTTAACTTTTTCTAAATTTTTTTAGGTCAAGTGGATTGATAGAAAAACAGTCTGTATTTCTTTAGGGCTTTTAATGCCTTATTGCCAGATATTATTTTACAGTATATAGTATATGAGAGTTTTTCTTTAACCACTCCAGTGCTTTTTAAACTTTTTCATATTTTTACTCAATAGAACACACTGGAGGGAGCAGAAAATAGTTTATTTTCAAATTATATGTTCTTTTATACCTTTATTTTAGCCTATTCCGAACATCTTTCTATAAGTGCTGGCTACAAAATGTTGCATTGTGTGGCTAGCTTGTGGTTGATTTAATTAATGATTTCTCTAAAAATGGTTTATTAAACCAGTTCCTATGAATGGGCACTTAGGTTGTTTCCAGAGTTTTACTACTATAAACAAGGCTATGTATTTATTTTTGCACATGTGACCAATTGTTTTTCCTAGTTTATCTTAATAAAAGTGTAATTACTATGTCAGAATAATTCTTTTTTACATTAAATGATTTACTTAGTATTTATATATTTTGATCTAATTTAATGGGTCCAATAAGTTAATAAGTTGAATTCACTTCTGTATTTAAAATTGTGCAAATAGCAACTGAGAAAATCTATGACATAATAGACACTGTACTGGATTATAAAGAATGCCCTTGCTGTAACAGGAGCTTGCAGCCCAGCAATTGTAGAATTTGAGTCAGTAGCATAGTGATATAGTACTACTTTAGAGTTTTTGCCTTGACCTTGCCATAATATCTTTAGACTCTTAAAGGAAGGCTCTGCAGATGTATTTGTTTATGATTCACTTATCTTTTTCCTAAACAGGAAAATAGTTCTGCTTGCAGGATGGGCATTGTTCTTATTCCTTGCATATAAAGTTTCCAAAACAGACCGAGAATACCAAGAATACAATCCTTATGAAGTATTAAATTTGGATCCTGTAAGTAGTATTTTTATATAATGCACATTAGTTTAATGATTCCATGAAAATGCTAGAAGTCCTCATTCTAAAAGAAATTGTCCTTTCCTATAGAAATCAGACTTTGGTCAGTTTAATTTTTTATTAAAATAAGATGTTTAATCTCTATTATTCTAATTTTTAAGCTGTAACTGTTGATATGTTATTAATAATTGGTTTTCAATTGCTAAAATATAAGAATATTTGAAGATGAGAAGAGAGGTTAACATTTTTTAAAGGCGTATTTTTAAGAGAGATCTGTAATATTCGTTAATGCAAAGTTAAAACTGCGAAGTTAATTTGTGTTAGTTGAATGATAAAAATCATATGACCTTGTATTCATTGACGATTAAGCAGTGTGGTAAAGTCTAGGTGGGGGGGTCTTATAAAGAGCTAATAGCCACGGTCGGTGGCTTACGCCTGTAATCCCTAGCACTTTGGGAAGCTAAGGTGGGAGGATCGATTGAGGTCAGGAGTTGGGGCAACATAGTAATACCCAGTCTCTACTAAAAAAAAAAAAATGTCTGGGTGTGGTGGCAACATGCCTATAGTTCTAGCTACCTGGGATGCCAAAGTGAGAGTATAGTTTAAGCCAAGAGGGTTGAGGTTGGAGTGAGCCATGATCCATGCCATTGCGCTCTAGCCTGGACAGCAGAGCGAGACTCTGTCTTTTAAAACTAAAGTGAAACTAGTGTAATTAATATCATTGTCATAGAAATTTAGGTTAACCTTGAGCGTGTCCCTTAGCTGATCTTTTGATTAAACCTGATTAATGGGTCCCAAATAGAAAACTAGTCTTTTGGCTAGCCACAGTGGCTCATGCCTGTGATCTTAGCATTTTGGGAGGCTGAGGTGGGAGGATTGCTTGAGGCCAAGAGTTTGAGACCAGCCTAGGCAACATAGGGAAACCTTCATCTGTACAAAAAACTAATAAAATTAGCTGAGCGTGGTGACACATACCTGTGGTTCCAGCCACTGTGGAAGTCAGGGCTGCAGTGAGCTGTGAGTGTACCACTGCACTCCAGCCTAAGCGACAGAGCAAGACTGTCTCAAAAAAAAAAAAGTCTTTTGGGTTTATCAGTAGAATTGTTAGAACTGAAATTAATGCTAGAGATCATATAGCCTTTTATAAAAATATATAATTTTTTAAACCTGGGAGCATATATTCAAGTTGCCCTGAGTATATGTATGTACTCCCTATTTATTAATTTTTTTGAAAAAGAAAGTGAGGCCTGGAAAATTTGTGTCTTGTCTGGAGTTCCAAGCTTCTTACTTAGTAGCCAAGCTCAATCTAGTGCTCTGTTTTCTCCCCTATACCACTTACTTTTGCTTCAAGTCTTTGCTCAGGAGATGGCTTGATCCAGACATTCATATAGTACAAACTAAGGAGGGTCTGTGCCTAGTGTACTGTGTGGCACATAGTAGTTGCTCAATAACATACATATATCGGACAATGTAAGTGTTTTTATTAAAAAATATATAGGATGAATGGTGGGCATGATGGCTTACACCTGTAATCCCAGCACTTTGGGAGGCCGAGGAGGATGGATCATGAGGTAAGGAGATCAAGACCATCCTGGCTAACACGGTGAAACCCCGTTTCTGCTAAAAATACAAAAAAATTAGCTGGGCATGGTGGCAAGTGCTTGTAGTCCCAGCTACTTGTGAGGCTGAGGCAGGAAAATTGCTTGAACCCAGGAGGTGGAGGTTGCAGTGAGCTGGTATCGTGCTACTGCACTCCAGCTGGGCAAGCCTGAGACTCTGTCTCAAAAAAAAAAAAAAAAAAGGTATATATATATATGTGTGTGTGTGTGTTTGTATATATGTGTGTGTGTGTGTGTGTGTATATATGTGTGTGTTTACATATATGTATATATATATTTATATTTCATCCTATATATTTTTTCCATAAATTTAATCATATATGTGTGTATGTATACATTTATGTGTATATATGTGTGTGTGTATATATGTATATAAAAATAAAAATATATGCATATATGTACACATATATAAAAATAAAAATATATACATATATACGTATATATACACACACACATATATACACATATTATATGTATATATGCACACAAGTATATATATTATATATATATACTTGTGTATATATATGTACATATATACACACACATATATATACACACACATATATAATTAAATTTATGGGAAAAATATATAGGATGAAAATGGATTTTGTCTTTCTCAAAATACTGAGTAGTTCATATTTTAAGTTCAAAATAGGATTATTTCTTTACAAAATTGCGCTTATTTGTGCTAACAGAAAGCTTTTTTTTTTCAGGGAGCCACAATAGCAGAAATTAAAAAACAATATCGTTTGCTGTCACTTAAATTTCATCCAGATAAAGGAGGTGATGAGGTTATGTTCATGAGGATAGCAAAAGCTTATGCTGCGTAAGTATCAGGATCCATTACAAATTTTTAAGAGTGGTACAGGTAAGCCAAGTGCAGTGGCTCATGCCTCTAATCCCGGTACTTTGAGAAGCTGAGGCAGGAAGATCACTTGGGCCCAAAATATAAAATAATTTTTTTTTTTTTTTGAGACAGAGTCTCACTCTGTCACCCAGGATGGAGTGCAGTGGCATGATCTTGGCTTACTGCAACGTCCGCTTCCGGGGTTCAAGCAACTCTCCTGCGTCAGCCTCCCCAGTAGCCGAGACTACAGGCACGTGCCACCATGCCCGGCTAATTTTTTTTTATTTAATTTTTAGTAGAGATGGGGTTTCACCGTGTGAGCCAGGATGGCCTCAGCCTCCTGACCTCGTGATCCGCCTGCCTTGGCCTCCCAAAGTTCTGGGATTACAGGCATGAACAAAAATAAAAGAATTAACCATGTGTGGTGTTGTGTGCCTGTATTCCTAGCTACTTCGGAGGCCGAGGTGTGAGCATTGTTTGCACCTGGGAGGTCAAGGCTGCAGTGAGCCATGACCATGCCACTGCATTGCAGCTTCAATGACACAGCAATACTCCCTCTCTTAAAGAAAAAAAAAAAAGTTAGTTTTCTGTTTTAATAAAATAGTAAAGTAGTTTTCGTATACTTTTTCCAAGTGCTTACTTCATGTTGAGTCTGTTATTTAGGGTACTACACAGCAGCCATAATCTGGTAACTTAATTTAATTAAACTTTAATTTTTGCCACGTAAACTTGGTTTGACTAAATTAAGTGGTGAATGATAAGTTAATTGAGCTATTTTATTAGCATCTTGATTAGAGGAGGGAATACTTAGATCTTGTTCTCATTTCTAGATTTTTGTAAATTAGGCTTGATCTATTTCTCTTGTTTTGGCAATTTGTAATCTCATGTAAGCTATTTAAAGACAAGTGTAATTTTTACTTTTAAGTACTTTGTTTTTGGTGTCTTTTTCTTTTTATAATTCTTCACACAAGGTTATTCTTAGTTAATAACTACTGTACTTGTTGAGATGTGGATTTTTAAGGTCTCGTTCTTTACTGCTCAGAAAGTTTCTTCATGAATCTTTTCAGAACTTCCAAATCATTTTCCTTGTTGGCTTAGATGCAGACATAGGTAAGGTGCATCGTTATTGTGAGATAGATATACTCACATATACATTATATGCACACATATATGTCTGTGTATTTATAAAGTTTGAGGAACATTTGTACAAACTTTTGGGAAGCAGGATAGAGTATGTAAAATTAGATGCAGTGATTTCTTGGGTATTAATCTTCCAAGAGATAAAAATTAATCAGATTCTTCAGGACTCTTCATAAGTACATCCCCACAGAGCTCTTATGTTGAATGAAAGAGTAAAATATGAGATTGTTTTTTGAGGACTCAGTGATGCATAATTTTGTGAACTCATTTTAAACATTTTAGTAAATACAAGCATACTTAGGAGTTACAGTTTCAGTTCCAGTCTCCTGCAATAAAGCAAATATTACAATGAAGTGAGTCACATTCATTTTTTTGTTTCCCACTGCATCTAAAAGTTGTGTATACTATACCATAGTCTTACTAAGTGTGCAGTAGCCTTATGTCTTAAAAAACAATGTACATACCTTAATTTAAAAATACTGTATTGCTAAAAAATGCTCGTAATCTTGAGTCTGACAAATTGCATTATTTTTGCTGATGGAGGGTCTTGTCTTGATGTTGATAACTGTTGACTGATCATGATAGTGGTTACTGAAGGTTGGGCTGGCTGTGCCAATTTCTTAAAATAAGACAGCAATGAAGTTTACTGCGTCAGTTAGTTAACTTCCTTTCATGAAAGATTTCTCTGTAGCATTTGATGCTGGTTTGATAGTATTTTACCCACAGTAGAACTTCTTTCAAAATTGGAGTCAGTCCTCTCACATCCCACCACTGCTTTATCAACTAAGTTTATATAGTATTCTAAATCCTTTATTGTCATTTCAACAATGTTCATAGCATCTTCATCAGGAGTAGATTCCATCTTAAGAAACTACTTTCTTTGCTCAACTGTAAGAAGCAACTCATCTGTTCAAGTTTGATCGTGAGATTGCAACAATTCAGTCACATCTTCAGGCTCTACTTCTAGTTCTGCTGTTTCTAGCACATCTGTAGTGACTTCCTCTACTGAAGTCTTAAACCTCTCCAAGTCATCCATGAAGGTTAAAATCAACTTCTACCAAAGTCCTCTTAATGTTGACATTTCAACCTCTTCCCATTAATCACAAATGTTCTTAATGGCATTTGGAATAGTGAATTATTTCCAGAAATTTTTCAACTTACTTTACCAATCCATCAGATGCATCACTTTGTCTTTAGCAGCTATAGCTTTACAAAGTGTGTGTGTGTATGTATGTATGTATGTATGTATGTATTTTGAGGTGGAGTCTCACTCTGATGCCCAGGCTGGAGTGTAGTGGTGTGATCTTGGCTCATTGCAACCTCTGCCTCCTGGATTCAAGCAATTCTCCTGCCTCAGCCTCCCAATTAGCTGGGACTACAGGCATGTGTCACCATGCTTGGCTAATTTTTGTTTTTTTTTTTTAGCAGAGACAGGGTTTTATGTTGGCCAGGCTGGCCTTGAACTCCTGACCGCAAGTGATCTGGCCACCTCAGCCTCTGACATTGCTCAGTGCAATGTGTGTATATTAAATAATAAGACTTAAAAGTTGAAATTACTTTTTGATCTGTGGGCTGCAGAATGAATATTGTATTAGCAGGTGTGAAAACAGCATTAATCTCTTTTTATAGCTCCATCAGAGTTCTTGAGTGACCAGGTGCATTATGAATGAGCAGTAATCTTTTGAAAGGAATAATTTTTTTTCTGAGCAGTAGGTCTCAATGGTGGGCTTAAAATATTCAGTAATCCATGCTGTCAACACATGTGCTGTCATCCAGGATTTGTTCTTCTATTTATAGAACAACAGAATAGATTAGGCATAGATCTTAAGAGCCCTAGGACTTTCGGAATGGCACATGAGCATAGGCTTCAAGTTAAAGTCAGCCATGGCATTGGCCACTACCAAGAGAGTCAGCCTGTCTTTTGAAGCTTTGAAGTCAGGCATTTATTTCTCTCCAGCTGTGACAGTCCTAGATGGCATATTTTTCCAATATAAGGCTATTTCATCTACATTGAAAATTTGTTTAGTGTAGCCACCTTCATTGTGATCTTAGCTAGATTTTCTGTATAACTTGCTGCAGCTTCCAAATCAGCACTTGCAACTTCACCTTGCACTTTTGTTGTGGAGAGGGTTTCTTTTGGAAAATCTCATGAACCAACATCTGCTAGCTTCTGCAGCTCCCTCACCTCTCTCAGCCTTCGTAGACCTGAAGAGAGTTAGGGCCTTGCTTTGGATTAGGCTTTGGCTTAAGGGAATGTTGTGGCTGGTTTGATCTTATATCCAGACCACTGAAACATTCTTCAAATCAGCAACAAGGCTGTTTCACTTTCTTATCATTTGTGTGTTCACTTTTAAGTTTCTTTATCTTTGAATTCACAACTTGACTGTTGGCACAAAAAGCCTGGCTTTTGGCTTGCCTTGGCTTTTGACATGCCTTCCTCACTAAGCTTAGTCATTTCTAGCTTTTAATTCAGAGTGAGAGATGTGTGAGTCTTTCTTCTGTTTGAACATTTAGAGGCCATTTTAGGGTAATTTGCCCAATTTGAATCTTGTTTTTAAGAGAATAGGGAGGCATGAGGAGAGGAAGAGAGATGGGGGAATGGACAGTCAGTGGAACATTTGTAACACATATGTATTAAGTTCTTTTTCTTCTGCAGGTGCAGTTTGTGTGCCAACCCCCCAATAATAATAGTGATGTCAAAGATCACAGATCACATATCACTATAACAGATAAAACAACAGTGAATACATTAGATACCTTATGAGACTTACCAAAATGTGACATAGGGACATGAAGTGAGCACATGCTGTTGGAAAAATGGCACTGATAGAATTGCTTGTTGCAGGATTGCCACAAACCTTCAATCGGTAAAAAACATGACTATCTGCAAAGTGTAATAAGAAGTTTGCTTGTAATTGGATTCTCAGTTATAATAGCAAATTGTGAAAGTGGCATGTGATTGTCAGAAGTTTGGGAGATATTACCTTACTTATTTTTGTACTTAGTAAAGGATATTGACTATGTCCCTTCTTTCCTCTTGTTTTGTGGCTTGCTGTTATCTGTGTGAATTACTATATGATTCTGTAATAAAGCAGTGCCATTAGGACTTCAGAAATGTGTACTACATTTTCTGCATAGCACTTGTCCTTGAGATTGCTATCTTTTACCAATTGGTCTCCAAGAATGTCTTCCTTATTATGTTATTGGTCATTTTTTAGTGTATGTGTGTGTGTCAGGAGGGTCTGCCTTATATTCCTTAACTACATTGTAAATTTTTCTAAGGAATTGGAATATTAACATCTTCATTGGGAACTGGAATGAAACCATTCTTGACTCTATACCTTGAGCCATTGTCAAAGTCAGGGGTTATATTTTAGGTGTCTAAAAATCACTCTAACTTTCTTATCACCTGGGTTAGGAAGCTGCTGTTTAGGAGAAATTACCCTAGTTCTTCTGGCAGTTGGCTTAGGAAAAAATTATGAACTTAGCATGGTGCAAATTACCTTACCCACAGCAATGGAGTTTTACGTGTGGTGTTCATTTGTTTCTTTCAGAATGTGGTGCTATTGTTTTGTAGGGAAGCTACCATTATGAATTAAGTTTATGTTTAAAAAAATACATATTTATCATTATTGATGTGTAAACATGCTCATTGAAGAAATTTTGGAAAATATATGAGAGTATAAGGAAAAAAAAAATCCCCTACAATTCTCCCTGCCTTCTTGGAAAATGTAGTGGCCTTTAAAGTTTTTTCTGGTTGAACTGGCTAAGCTTGAGAACCATGGGCCAACCAGGAATTAGTATCAATGTGGAGTAGTTAGTATTTTCTGTTAATGCACCATTTCTTGCTCCTCCCTTTCCCTTTCTTCTGATTTTGGAGAGACTTTTCTTGATTCACAAAATCAGTCTAAGAAATAAGTTGGTTGGCTAATGGGGTTTGTCTATATGAGTACTTATTTTTCAGATGTGGCTTTCTAATTTTGCAACTTGGTTCTTTTGTTGCTAGTTTAACTGATGAAGAGTCCCGGAAAAATTGGGAAGAATTTGGAAATCCAGATGGGCCTCAAGGTGTGGTAAATGATGATTTTAAAATATTGGCAATATGGTATATATTTTTAAAATGTTAACCAGATTAAAGGAATAATTTTATTTTCTTACCGAACTTACAATCACCATGGAGTTTAACATAGGTTAAATTGAGCTCTCATTAATTTTTGCTTTCTTTTTTCTTTTTTTTTTTTTTTTTAAGACAGGGCTTCACCATGTTGGTCAGGCTGGTCTTGAACTCCCGACCTCAGGTGATCCACCCGCCTTGGCCTCCAAAGTGCTTGGATTACAGGCGTGAGCCACTGTGCCCAGCTTTATTATTTTTTTCTAAAGACTAGTTTAAAAGATATAATTTAAATTGATTTGGAGAGAAAAGTAATCACTATCATTTCCAATTACTAGTTGGTAAAAATTTGGAGCAAAAAAATGTATTTTTCTTTACTGACTTCACATTTTCCCATGTGTTCATAGTGTTTATGTAAACTCAGGACATATAAAATAGTTTATATTTTCTTGAAAGAAGGAATTTGTACTTACACAGGATTTCTTTTTCCTTCTTGAAAAATTGTAAGTTTCAGGTATAAACTATATCCCTAAACTTTTATGTAATGGGGACCTACTAAGAAGATAATCTTTCTCAAAGTTTTTTTTTTGTGTTTGGGGGAGAGTTTTGAGATATATTTATTTATAGATCCCAAATATATTTAATATACTTATTAAAACTAAAAGTAGAGATTCTTCAGAAACTGATGTTTTTTCTGTTTCAGCCACAAGCTTTGGAATTGCCCTGCCAGCTTGGATAGTTGACCAGAAAAATTCAATTCTGGTGAGTGCATTTAAATAATTCACATTAGGATGTATTAGACAAAATTTTTGTTGTGTACAATCTGTCTTGGTAAATAAGAAGAACTATTACAAAGAAAATACTGGTATGCTATTTATTTATTTTTGAGACAGAGTCTTGCTCTGTTACTGCCCAGGCAGGAGTGCAGTGGCTTGATCTCTCAGCTCACTGCAACCTCCGCCCCCCGGGTTTGAGTGCTTCTCCTGCCTCAGCCCCCTGAGTAGCTGGGATTGTAGGTGCCTGCCACCATGCCTTGCTAATTTTTGCATTTTTAGTAGAGATGGGGTTTTGCCATGCTGGCCAGCCTGATCTTGAACTCCTGACTTCAAGTGATCTGCCTGGCTTGGCCCCCCACAGCTGTCTAAAAGCTGTCTTTGAAGCAATAAAAACAAAATCCACACAGTCTGTAATTTGTTTTGAAAATGGCTATTAAGTTATTTTGTGGCAGATTAAAACTGGTTACCTTTAAGGAGTATACAGTTGCAGCATAAGCTTGTTTGTTATGCTTCTGGTTATTAGAAATAGTTGAGAAGGAACTGTTACTACCAGATTTAGGATCAAATAACAGGAGAAAAATCAGTAGATAAAAATTGCTAGTAAACAGCATTGTGAAGTGGCTCCTGATGTTTAGCTAAAGGAACCCTTCACCAGGGACTACTTATCTCATTTATTTCCAAGGCACTAACTACTTATAGGTTGTGGATATATAAGTACCTGCTGACTGGAAGAGAAATGTAACTTACAAAACTATTTTGCTGCTGTTAATCTATATTGTGTCAGTAAATAACAAAAGGTAATTTATTATAGTGGATATGAACATAGACTCTAGAGCCAAACTACCTGAGTTCAAATCCTGGCTGTACAATTTACTAGCTGTGTCCTAGGACAAGTTATGTAACTGATACGTACTTCAGGTTTTCTACCTACAAAAGAAAGGTAATAATGGTACCTTCTCTTGGAGTTGAACAAGATAATACATGAGGAATGCTTTCAATAGTGGCTCCCCCATTGTAAATCTCAAATTTATGGATGTTGTTTTAATTTACCTGATGAAGGCTATAATTCTTTTTCTCTTCACTTCTAGGTTTTACTTGTATATGGATTGGCATTTATGGTTATTCTTCCAGTTGTTGTGGTAAGTTCTAGCTCTTTAATAGTTTTTTGGAAAGGGGATTGACATGTTTCCAAGTCTCCCTGTAAGATTTTTAATTTGTGTTAGAATATAACCCACTGATCCTTGAAATTAAGAATCTTGCTGGGTGAGACAGCTCATACCTGTAATTCCAGCACTGAAGCTGAGATAGGTGGGAGGATCGCTTGAGCTTAGGTATTTAAGGTTACAGTGAGCCATGACCCCACCACTGCACTCCAGCTTGGGCCACAGAGTGAGACCTCAACTGAAAAAAAATTACACAACTGTACTTTTAAAGGTCTTCTAAAAGTGACATTACTTGAGCATGTTAATGCGTGTATCCTCTCAATTCAAAAGTTACCCACAATTGGCTGGGCGTAGTGGCTCACTCCTGTAATCCCAACACTTTGAGAGAATGAAGTGGGCAGATCAGTTTAGGGCAGGAGTTCGAGACCAGCCTGGCCAAAATGGTGAAACCCTGTCTCTACTAAAAATACAAAAATTAGTCGAACATGCAGTTTTAACGCAGGAGGCAGAGGTTGCAGTGAGTCGATCGTGCCGCTGCACTCCAGCCTGAGTGACACAGTGAGACTCTGTCTCAAAGAAAAAAACAAAAATCACAAAAGTTACAACTGAGGTAACACAGACATATATACACATATATACATGTATGTGTGTATGTATTTAGGTATATATATTTTAAATACAGAAATACAGGAACTGTCCATTTTAATTTTATTTGTTATTTTTGAGATAAAGTCTTGCTGTAGTGAGGTGGTGCAAACATGGCTCTCTGCAGCTTCTACCTCCTGGGTTCAAGCAAATCTTCCCACCTCAGCCTTCCAAGTAGCTTGAGACCACAAATGTGTACCTCCATGCCCCACTAATTTTTCTGATTATTTTGTAGAGATGGGGTCTCACCCAGGCTGGTCTTAAACTCCTGGGCTCAAACGATTATCCTGCCTTGGCCTCCCAAAGTACTAGGCTTATCAGTGTGAGCCACCATGCCTGGCTGACACAGATATATTTAAAGTTTAAAATGAAAGTCTTCCTGCACTACCACCCTCAGCTTCATTTATTTAAGAATCATTGCTAAATTTGGTATTTTCTCTTTCAAATCTTTTTTTATGCATTTATGTACACACATTCACTTGAAAAAGAATCTTTAATGAGATTTTACTGTATGCATTATCCTGTTACATATTTTGCTTAATATATTGGGAATGCAACATACAGAACAGCCTCATTTTTTGAAATAGCTGTATAATGCTATAATATGGAGATGACATACAATTTATGATTTTTACCATTTATTACTTTTGTGACTTATGTCCTTTCTGATCCTGGAGTTCCTTTTAGTCACGTGGTGAGCCTAATAGTTAAGTTGTCTTGCCTTCTTCAAGGGATTGTTGTGAGGATCCAGTCATATTAGTTAATATGAATGAAAGCGTCATGTCACCTGTAAAATAATGCCTACATTTGTTTATTAAATATTTATTGAAGACACGCTGTATGTGTCAGGAACCAGCTTGGTGCTTATAGCAGTGGGTAGTTTTATTCCTTTTTTGTCTTTAAGGAACTTCTATCCAAAGTATAAATGTTTTAATCATATATCTGCAGTGACTTAGGTTAGTGTTTAGGCTTCAGGCGATATAAATATTTGCAAAAGAAACTACTTGAAATATGCAACAAAGAGGTACTTATTGTAAGTCTCAGGTATTTTTATTGGTTTATGAACATTTAGGATATTTGACCAAAAACATATTTTGCATCAAACTTAACATTTTTCAGGGGTTTGTTTTGCTTTTTTTTGAGACAGAGCCTCCCTCTGTCACCCAGGCTGGAGTGCAGTGGTGTGATCATGGCTACTGCAGCCTTGACCTCCTAGGCTCTAGCCGTCTTCCCACCTCAGTTTCCTGAGTAGCTGGGAGTAGAGGCGTGTGCCACCATGCCTAGCTAATGTTTGCATTTTCCTTTTTCTTTTGTCTCACTATGTTGCCTAGGCTGGTCTCAAACTCCTGGGTTCAAGCAGTCCTCTCACCTCAGCCTCCCAAAGTGCTGGGATTATAGGCGTGTGCCACCTTGCCCAGGATATCATAGTTTTTGTACTTTCTTTCTTGTTTAATTTTATTTGTGTTTTAGGGCTCTTGGTGGTATCGCTCAATACGCTATAGTGGAGACCAGATTCTAATACGCACAACACAGATTTATACATACTTTGTTTATAAAACCCGAAATATGGATATGAAACGTAAGTAAACTTAAGTAACTTTGCTATTAGTCACATTGTTTTGTAACTCACTTATGTGGTGGGGCTGACATATATTTCTTAACTCTGTACTGGTGAAATTCCATTGTATAGTTTTGTAGATAAATTATATAATTAAAGCTAGAAAAAAATGCCAGTAGCCTTATCACATTTCTTAATTTCCATTTCCATTATTCACTTTTACTCATATATTTCATCAGAAATTTTACTATAAGCCTTTATGCGTGCATATTTTGTAATATTAGCTAACATTTATTATTTGTTGTATGCCAGGCACTGCTAGGGACTGTACATGTCTCGAATCATTTAATTTTTGCTCTGCTTCCATAAGTAAGTGCTGTTTTAAAGTACATCTTATAGATGAGGAAACTGAGGCACAGGAAAGTAACACAATCGAGGATACACAGTAAGTGATATCCAGGATTGAACCCAGGCAGTCTGGTTCTTGAGCCTTAAACGATTACATCATACTGTATTAATTGTAGTAAAAATAAAAAGTCTTAGGTGTATTGAAAGAAAACTGCTACAATATTTCATTTCCAGTTCTTATTTAAAAATTTCTTAAGAAAAAAATCCTATTTTCAGTACTTTCTTTGATTCTATAAAGCAAACTTCGTAGTTTATCCCTGGGAGATATAGTGTTGCCTTTCAGAATGATGACTCTGCAAAAATCACAGATGCTTCCCATTCTTCCTTTTAAAAAAAAAGTATGTAAGTTTTAAATTGTGTTTCTGGGACCAAAATGGACTTTTCTGTATTTTGGATTTGGCAATTTTACTAATTTTCTTACTAATGGTAGACTTCTCATGATCATATGACTGTGTGTGAACAGATTTTATATTTCTGGATGAGTTAATACTACTTTGCTATAATTGAAAATATTACTCTTCCTAAAGCTGGATTGAAATGTTAATATAGAAACTTACTCCCTTATGAAAATGTTTCATGTTTATAATTTTAAGTGTGCTTTTTGCTTTAATCATCTTGATTTCTGTTTCTTTTCTGATGGTGGTAGCCTTACACAGTTTTGTCAGAGAAGCATTATTTAGCTGGTGGATTTCTTTACACATTCTTGGTTACTTTAGCTGTTTTAGGAATGGTTGTTACCAAGTAAACATTTGAGGGTAGTATTAGTAATAGCTCACACAAGTACTGTGCTTGCAGTGTGTCAGGCACATATGAAGAAACTGAGATAAACAGATATGAAGAATATTGTCCTAGGTCATTTAGCTGGGAAGTGACAAAATACCACGGTCTATGCATTTAACTTCTATACTATCTGCCTTTTGTGAGTACATTACACGTTTTTTTTTTTTTTTTTTTTTTTTTTTTAGTACAAATTTTTTTTTTTTTTTTTTTTTTTTTTAAGACAGGGCTTCACC